TTAATACATGTTTTCTCATCAGCCTTTTCTTGTCTTTAAATTCTGTTTAAATTCTACTTGGTTTACAACGCTGGCATGTGAGTGAGGAGGTTAAGAGTGTGGGTTCTGAACCCAGCTCCTGCACTTACTAGCTGTGTGAATTTGTGGCAACTTACTAAACTCTGTGCCTCAGTTTCCTCATCTGTATAATAGAGATGATAACAATAGTACGTACCATAGAGGAGTTATGGAAACCGAATGAGTTGGTTTGTATAAAGCACATAAACCATGCTGGCTGTGTGGTAAGGATTTAGTAAGTGTTAGCGACTATTTTTATTATATGCCAACCAACTTGCTCATGTCAACTAAATACGTTATAACATATAAAGGCTTTCACGATATTTATTATTATTATTATTAAAACAGAGCCTCTTAGCCTGTTATAAGTGGATCCCACTTTCAACATTTTATTTTTTGAGACAGAGTCTCGCTCTGTTGCCCAGGCTGGAGTGCAGTGGCTCACTGCAACCTCTGCCTTCCTGGTTCAAGTGATTCTTCTGCCTCAACCTTCCAAGTAGCTGGGACTACAGGTGCCCACCACCATGCCGGCTAATTTTTGTTTCTTGTTTTCTTTGGTAGAAACAGGGTTTCACCATGTTGCCGAGGCTGGTCTCGAACTCCTGACCTCAAGTGATCTACCTGCCTTGGCCTCCCATAGTGCTGGGGTTACAGGCGTGAGATACTACACCTGGCCACAACATTATTTTTAATAATACTCAAATGTATGATACCATTTCCAGGTGAAACCAGAACTGATCCAAAGGAACAAGCAGTCCATGTGAGAGAATTCTTTTAACTCCTCTTTGCAGAAAAGTCAAACCTCTCTGTAGTAAGAACCATCTATTTCCATTGATCAAAGACAAACTATTAAAAGTCCATAATTAACAAAATACTACTAATCCACAGCAATTTATAAACATCCATTTCTGAAAATAAAATGTCGACAAGCAGGGAGACAAGATGCGCTTTGCCTGATAAGGAAAGGTGACTAACATGGCTTAATTTGCTCTGATTTAAGGGAAAAAAAAAGGTTTCAAAACCAGCAGACCATGTCATAACAAGGAATATTTTGTGTCCTGGAGAGATTTAGAGATGGGCTGATATCAAGACGTGACCTACTTTTCTCATGATAGGTCTGCCCCTGAATAATAGTTTGATTTATTGACAAGAGGATGATCCAAAACTGATAACATTTTCTGCCTCTGCCATCGGAAAGATAATGTCAATCCAGAGGAAGAACCTGCAGGACTAAAAGCTGTAGTATTTTTCCCCAGATACAATGTATAAAATATAACATTCATTTTTAAGTGGATTTCTGTTAAAGGTGTTTGTTACTCTGAAACCTTGTCAGTGTATTTGCAATGAGCTTAACTAAGCATTTGGGTTTTTAAAAAAATTTCAAAAAGTTTTTACTGTCATCTTCACTTGCTATTAAAAAGATAGTAAGTTTCTGGTCTTCTCCTTGGGTAGTTTTTAATTTTCTTCATAAACATAAAATCGAACTATTAGAAAGAATATTTCTCAAAATTGTTAAGGCAAGAGTCATTTATTAAATTATTGGGAATGGAGGGGGGGGTTTTCAGTAATTTGTCTGTCTTAGATGCTTTCACTTTTAGAATCGTTGTTGTATTCATTCTCTACTGTTAGGTAACAAATTACCTTACACTTAATAGCTTTAAGCAACAAATATTATCTCACGTATTTTTTGAGGGTCAGGATTCCAGAAATGGCTTAGCCAAGTGGTGCTGGCTGAAGGTCTTTCACAAGAGTGTAGTCAAGAGGCAAGCTGGGGCTGCAGGCATCTGAAGGCTGGACTGGGGTCAGAGGATCCACTGCTAAGATCACTAAGGTTCCTTTTGGCAGGAGGCTTCACTCAGTTCTTCAGCAGCTTTGGGAAGCCTCAGTTACTTTGCCACATGGGCTTCCACGGGGCCAATCACAACAAGGCAGCTGGTGTTGCCCATGCAAACGATCCAAGGCAAAGGAAACAAGATAGAAGCTACAGTGTCTTCTATCACCTAATCTCAGAAGTGTCTTTTGTCCTGGCTTTTGTCGTATTTTATTGGACACACAGACCAACCCAGGCACGATGTGGGAGAGAACAATATAGCCTGTGAATGCCAGGAGGAAGGGATTATTGGAGGCCAGCTACCACAGTCATGGTGATAGAAATGATTTACTCATAATGTAGACGTGCAGAGGAGGCGTACATAGTCCACAGCATTTATAATGAAATATATTCTCAAAGAATAGAATGGCATAAGAACATTATTTTTTTAATGTTATTATTGTCACATTATTGATTCTGTTGGTTTAATATCATTACCAGAGTTTGCTAACATTTCAACGATTGGCATAGCATTTGTGAAGGACCATTTAGACAATTACAAAGCATTAATCAAAATGTCTACTGAATCAATGAACATTAATTATTGACAGCACATTCCAGAGTATAGTTTATTTCAGAAGGGAAAAATTGCTTTGTTTCCTTATGACAGCAACCAAAAAAACTAAAGTAAAATAAAATTGCCTATTCCTTTTACTCCAAGTTATTTCTCAAAACTTTTTTGGGTATGTTTTAGGCATCTTAAGAGTTCTGTCATTTGTTCGCTCACATTAAAAAACAAATAGGGCCAGGCGCGGTGGCTCACATCTGTAATCCCAGCACTTTGGGAGGCCGAGATGGCAGGATCACCTGAGGTCAGGAGCTGGAGACCAGCCTGGCCAACATGGCAAAACCCCAACTCTACTATAAATACAAAAAAAAATTAGCCAGGCATGGTGGTGGGTGCCTGTAATTCCAACTACTTGGGAGTCTGAGGCAAGAGAATCATTTGAACCTGGGAAGTGGAGGTTGCAGTGAGCTGAGATCATGCCACTGCACTCTAGCATGGGTGACAGAGTGAGACTCTGTCTCAAAAAAAAAAAAAAGACAAGTAGAATACAGTGTTGAAGAAGATAAAGATTTGTATAGATTGAAACTTGAGACGATATGCCTGGACTATACTATCTAAGATAACTTCCGTGTTCTATCTCCAAACTCATGTTGCCACAAACCAAAATATTCGATTTCCCCGTCATCTCTATAAAGCCATGTTTTGACAATGTCTTTCACCACTGATATTATAATACACAGTCTATTTTATTTTGTATAAAGAGATGGTAACCACTCTTCATGTGTTAGGGCCATCTAAAAATGCAGGCCACAGCATTTTAGATCTGGAAAGATCCTTGGAAATTTTTATGTTAAATGGGTTCTGCATTTTTGAAGAGCTGAGAAGTATTATACTCAGTGTGCTGCCTCCCCATGTTCTGTTTTGTCTTCAAAAATCTGATTAAAATTGAGAACCTGGTAAACCTAGTAGTACCATAAAGCAGTATTAAATCATTGATAAATATTCACTCTATGTAATCTCCAGAAAATACCAACACCACTTGCTACGCAATGGTTCCAAAGAATTACAAGAAGATGTTAGGCAGGCTATGTCCTTTTGAGATTCCCCTACCCCTCCCCCACACACACACACACACACACACACACACACACACACACACGGCAGTGGTCAATTGATTGTGCTTCGCTGTGAGTAACTTTTTTCTTAAAAATAAAACTAAAAATTTTTTTTATGAGCAAGGTTAAAAGTAGGAGTTATTACACTTATAGCGCAAGCATACCTACACTCAGCCATCTTTACACTAAAGAGCTAATTTTGCTTAGAATCAGGGTGATCCTACAAAGTTTAATTCTAAAGTAAATAATTTTTTTTTCATTTGGCTTGCAAAATAACAGTACATTGTATAGAACTAATCTTAACCAAGGATTACCTCACACATAATTCCTTTCTCTGACGTTAGTCCCAGCTACTTTACTCAAGAATTATGATACTTAGCCAAGATTGGACCTACCATCAGTGACTGAACTAAATTTTATTTCCTAAGTTTGATTTGTAGTGTTAATATTTTGTATTTTTCAAGTTCATTGATTGACTAGAATGTGCATATTTGTGACAGGATTAGTTCTTCGTAAAACCTGATTGATTATCACTCTGTGCTTTGTGATCTTTCCAATATTTTGAATTAATATTTTGAATCCTACATATTACCACTGAATTTTTTCATTTACTTTAATTCAAGGATTATCTTTGCTTTATTTTACAAGAAAGTAGCCTCTCCTTTCCTTTTCCAAGTTTTTAGTAGTTTCTCAATTCTTTACCATTTCTCCACAAGGATTTCTATAAATTAATCCTGTAGGATACAGTTTTTCTTTGAGTGCACCTATGTGAACATATCAGTGTTTATTTAAATAAATTGTCTTATTTCATTGGTTCCTTTTCTAATTATTGCTTTACTATGTTCTTTAGTAAAGGCAGTCCCAATTCTAACCTTTGAAACTCTGGCCTCTCGGGGTCACCTACTCTTTTATATTAACATTTAATAAAGAGATTGTTTTAGTTCTCTGCAGTGCACAACAAACTATCCCCAAAACTTAGTGGTTTAAAACAATCATTTTATTATTTCTTAAAATTCTGGGGATTAACTGGGGCTCTGCCAGATGATTCTTTTGCTGGTCTCATGCAAGGTCTCTCATGCAGCTTCAGTCTGTGACAGAAGGGGCTAGAATGACCACAGTGACTTCATTGTGGCCTCTTAATTGGAAGGCTGGGCTCAGCTGGGACACCAGGACAACTGAGCCTCTCTTTGTGCAATCTCTCAGCATGGTCTCTCTAGTAAGTTAGCTGTCATTTTACATAGCAACTCGGGAATTTTTTTTGGAAAGCAAAAGTCCTGGCTTAGTCCCAGAGCCACCTCTGCCACATTCTCTTTTGCATTTGAGAGATGTTACACAGGGCATGCGTACTGGAAGGCCATATCGGGGGCCATCTCTGGAGACTAGCTACTACAGGAATCATGTTTTCCTTTTCTGCCACTAAGACTTCAATTCCTTTCTGCTCCTTTTTCAGTTCCCTGTGTCTCTGGTGGTTTGCCTAAACCTGCAAACATCACCTTCTTATCCATCAACATGAAGAATGTCCTACAATGGAATCCACCAGAGTGTCTTCAAGGAGTTAAAGTTACTTACACTGTCCAGTATTTCATGTAAGTTTCTTCTTTTCCTTTTGGCTAGCTTACAAACACAAGACTCTGACTCCTGTGAATTGTGCAAAGATAAACTCTCTGCGGTATTAAATGTGTTTGAAAAAGAGAAAAGTTTTAGATATTTCAGGTTAAGTTTTCTTGATGTTTTGTAAGATTAAATTAGAAAACAGTTTCTTCATGGAGACAGAGGCATTGGGAGGCTCAGGCAAGGCGAGGTTATGTAGACAGAAAAGTTGGTCAAAACATTATTAGGTGGCTGAGCAAACAAGGCAATCCATCATCTCTGAATTTTCTAAGCTGTTTGGAATTACAGGCATCCTTAGACTCCTTGAAACCACATGCACATTTTGTGCGATCAGCTGTTGCACTTAAAGATAGCAGTGAATAGACATTTCATCTGGCCCTCAAAACTCATTGCAAGCAGGAAAGAATGCAAAACAGGCAGTCAATGTCCATCTTCAGAGAAACAAAGGAAATGGCCACAACCCTAACCACAAACTAGGAACCATCCAAGCCAAATCCTGTGGTATCCGAAGAAAAACAGCTACAGAAACTGAAAGCAAACCTATACCTTCACACCTCCAATCACAGGAAATGATTTCACAAAATAAGTGTCACAGTACCAAGAGCCCACCTAACAATCTGAGGGCATGGAAATCTAAGGATCGCCACCACCAGAAATGAAGGAAATGTCCCCGTGGAGCCCCAGTTGGGTGCCACAGAATGTCACAGATGGAGGAGCTAAAATAGAAATCAGGCACACAGGACATGTCCATTGTGGAGGCCCTGTCACAGCCCAGGGAGAAGCTGGGAGTGAGCCGGGGGCAGGAGGAAAGGGAGGTAGCACTGGCTGGGAGGCAGCCCAGGAAGGCTACAACATCAGCCTCCTGCAGCCCCAAACCTGAGGGCAGGCAGGTTTCCCAGGGAGCAAAGGGAATAATAGATTTGGTGAGAGGGTGTTTAATGGAAACAGAAGTTTAAAATTATGGAGAGCATTGGCCGGATGCAGTGGCTCTCACCTGTAACCCCAGCACCTTAGGAGGCTGAAAATGGTGGATCCCATGAGCTCACAAGTTCAAAACCAACCTGGGAAACATGACAAAACCCCGTCTCTACAAAAAATACAAAAATCAGCCGGTCATGATGGTGCGTGCTTGTAGTCCCATCTGCTTGGGAGACTGGGGTGGCAGGATGGCTTGAGCTGGGAGGTGGAGGTTCCAGTGAGCTGAGATCATGCCACTGCTCTCCAGCCTGGGCAATAAAGCCAGGTCTTGTCTCAAACAAACAAACAAAAATTATGGAGAGCAAAAGCTCATTATCTGAGCCCTATTCTTATGTCCATTTGCGTGTTCAACAAACAGCTGGCCCCATTCAAACAGTAATAGTCCCAAAGGAACTAGCATAGCACCTATTCATAATTACTGGAAGAGGGAAAGAGGAAAAAAGAATACAAGTTTCCAGAAAGCTTTGCTATGGAAGTAAGGAAGAATTAAAACACATAACAGTCCATAATTTTGTTAGAGTGCATAAACAACAGGATCTGTAAAGGTAAAACTCAAAGAAGAGAAAACAGTGAAAGAAGAGATTCAAAGACAACAGGGAGAACATGTCTTTTTAGGAAGTGTGCAGAGCTTAGGAAAATGCTGGAATATGAAAATACTATATCAAGATGAAAAACCTGTTAGAGCTAAGTGATAGTAATGGTTGAACAGGTAATAAAGACTGTTTGGAACTGTGTGTCATAAATGTGTGGTATGTCTAGAAAAAAATTGGTAAAAACAATAGCAAGACACATCCTGGGAAGTTATTGGACTTTAAGATAATTAAATGATTCATGGCCATTTTAGCAAAAGCAGAACTCAAGTTGGGAGAAAGGGAGAATTTCAATCTGGCAACACTCAATAGAATACATTTTCTGAGGAAAAGACAAGTGTGACCTAAGACTCTTACTAAGTTCAGTAGACTGGTGTTTGGAAGCGGGTGGGAACCCAGGAGATCACTTTTCTGAGACCTTCCTGGGGGATGAGGTGGAGCACTAACTAAAGGTGACCTCCAGCTAACAGAGAGATAAAGACAAACCCAAAAGAAGAACTTAGTGATGACAAAAAAAGACTGGTAGCATGCATTGAATTTATCTAAATATAGAACTAAGACTAAATAGTGATGGAAATGTAATTGTAGAAGTTTCTTAGAAATAATCTGAATTTAAACAATAATATAAGATGGAAAGGTGGGGGGACTATAAGTGTACTGATTTTCATAGCCAGAAGCCATCAATGTGATCTAAAATGACAGTATTTTATTATTTTAATAATTAACCTCTCAATATTTTCCACAAACCATTTTCTTAATTTAAAAGCTCTTTTAGAAATAAATATCTCTTGTGGTGACAAACATTTGCACTTCTGCAGTTCCTTTAATTTCGCGTCAATTTCTTTTTTCTATCAAAGTTCAAGGCACACTGAATTGACTACTTTTATTAAAACCATATGTATGGTATAATCTAATTTTTGTCCATCTATTCTGCTATCATATCATCCTTCTGTTTATACAGAAGCAAAATGAGATATCCAGAATCATACACACCAAATGTTCCAGGGTAATGGGTTTTAGGATGATTTGTTTCTCTTTTGATTATACTTTCTGAATTGTTTGATTGTTTGAATTTAAAAACATTACCATATTTTCAAAAAAGAATAAAGTCAGTTTTGTCTTTGAAAAAAAAATTCAGATCACTAAAACCAGTGAAAGACTTCAACAGCGACTCACAGTGACCTCAAATCTAGAACCTCATTCTCATTTCTAGGGAGTTTCTCAGTAGCCAGTGTTAGAGGAAAGAAACTGCTTTGCAAAGGGAAAAAGACTCACGAGCATGTCTTTGCCTCCTTATCCATTAGGTGGAGCAAAGAGCTTGCTCTGTCCTTTATGTTTTATGTGATTCAGAAAGGGATTTTTAAAAAATAGTCATCACTGCTCTGTGTGAGCAGATCACTTAGATTGTGCAACTTTTAAAAATATGTGTTTAAAAAGAAGCTTGCCATGTTGGCGTTTTTACATGCCTGTGCATGTGAGAGGGACAGGAATATAGGGCAGCATATTTCACTGCCAGAGGGCTCCAAGCTCAGCTCTGAAGTCAGACGGTCCCCAGTTCATAGCCAGGCTATGAACCTAGCTGGGAAGGTTGCAGATTATACGTTTATACTTTTGAGTGAAGTTTGTTTCCAAGATGAAAATTTAACAAAAGTTTAAATTCTATCCACCAAAACAATTAATGCAAAAAATAGAATGTAGCACTAAAAACAGAAGTTTTGGCATCAGGGAAGAATGGTTCAAATCCCAGGTATGCCTTTTACTAGTCATGTGAATTTGAGTGGATCCCTTAATCTTCCTGAGCCTCAGCTTCCTCATCTGTAAAATGGGATGAAAATAAGAGTACCTACCCCCTAGGGTTATTATGATAATTAGATGAGATAAAGCTTGTAAATCAGAGACCACTGAGGGCCCCACATGGCCGTTTGCCATGTGTGTGTCATTACTGGAGTATTTGCTGAGTGATTCTGGTCATCATTCATTTATTTTGCTGAAAATCTTGTAAAGAGCCTTTTCTCCTGCATCAGCATTGTCATGGGAAGCTGCCTTGCCTTTGGCAGAGTGAGGAAGTTTGAGGAGGGAGGAGGGAGGGGTCGCATAGGCAATGGCAATAGTCTTCAAACCACAACTCAAGACTCTTTGATGATTCATGAAATGAATGTTGAGGGACATTATTTTTGATGGAAAGGAATGGAATGGTGTGGAATGGAGTGGAATGAAAAATAACTGAATGCAAGGCCTGTGGTAAAGTTTAAATATTTTCTTGCACAATTTTTGTTTTAATATGTTAGTTTTATATTTTGTGAGCTGAATCAAAATGTAAAATGTATTTTTCCCCCATGGATCATGGTCAAAAAAAAATTGAAAGCCCCTAAGTAACAGTGATCACTTAGATGGAGAAGTTGATCAGTAAGATCTGACTATATTTCTGATGTCTTTTGGTAGGTGTGGTACTTAGGAAATGGGAAACATCTACTTTCAGAAATCTGTTGCCATATTCTGAAAAGAGAAAATATCCTTAAGCTTTGGCAATACATGGACATATCCTCTTTCTCAAGACACACTCTTCCCTTGACCTTTATGATACGTTTTTTTCTCATCCCTCTTTAGTTGCTATTTCCAGGCCTTCTTTCTGTCCAGCCTTTAAATCTTGACGCTCCTGAAATTTTATCCTAGACTTTGTTTTGTCTCCATGGATCATTCATTCATCCTTGTGCCTTCAATGAGCAGTTTGATGATACTGACTCCAAAATCCCTACCTCCCACTCACATGTCTCTCCTGAGACCCACTGCCCGCTGGGCATCTGCACTGGGATATCTGTTACATACTCAGGCTCAAGGCATCAAAAGTGAACGTGTTTTCTTTCCCTTCTGCTCTGCCTCTCCATCCATTTCCCAAATCTGCTCTGTCTCAGTGCTCTTTATCGTAGTAAATATCACCACCATTCCACCCATCTGCCCTAGACAGAAAGAGATGGCATCCTTAATACCTTCATTTCCCTAATCTGTCACATGTTTTCTGTCACCAAGTCCTGTCTCCTAATATTTCTTGCTTTTGTCCTGTCCTTATTCATCCTACTGCCCCCATCATTGTCCAAGTGACCTACATCTTCCCCTGGACCACTGCAGTGTCCTCTCAGCTGTTCCCTAGGCTGCCACTTGTAACCCATCACCTTTCCCACTCTGCCTCCCCGTCCCTTTCACTGGCTTATCACATGTTACCTGAACTCTACACTTCAGTCTCTCCCACCTGAAAAGGGCTAAAAATATTGCCACCTCCCTATTTGCTATGGGGGTTGTGGTTTTAATAAAGAAAAGAAAAATCAATATGACCAACCTAGTCAATATTATCATCCTCACTATAATTATCAAAAATGCAAATTTCTGTATGCACTCCAGCCTCATGTATTTTCCCTAGAATCATTGATGCTTAGATTTTTATATGCACTGAGAACGTCGAAGTAATTTTTCTTCCAAGAAAAAAAATGACGAACTGTTCTTCAGACAATCCATCAAACTGACCTTGTGTGCACAGTAGACTAAAAACCTACATAAATAATTACTAGAAGAATTGATCACACAATATGTAAAAATTTCACTGTAGCCAAAGAATAACAATAAAATATATGCGTTCAAAATATACTATCCACATTATAATTCACAGAAAGAAAGGTGATTACAGAAACTCTGACTCATGTTCCTGACAGCTAATGAAAAAAATTGCCCGCAGCAAAAGTGGATTCTTTTTTATCTCGATGACAGGCACCTTTGTTTTTCTGAAGAGAAGGTCGTCAGTTCCATTCAGTTTTATAAAATGACTACATTTTTTATTGTAAAGTATAGAGGGCACCTCATTATTAATTCAGCTTCTTTCTTAGCAGATATGGGCAAAAGAAATGGCTGAATAAATCAGAATGCAGAAATATCAATAGAACCTACTGTGATCTTTCTGCTGAAACTTCTGACTACGAACACCAGTATTATGCCAAAGTTAAGGCCATTTGGGGAACAAACTGTTCCAAATGGGCTGAAAGTGGACGGTTCTATCCTTTTTTAGAAAGTAAGTAATGCCATTATTGCCATGGTCAGTTAAACATGTATTAATATCAGGTTTAACAGTCTCAGCCTCATAGACAGCCTTGCCCAGAGGAAGGTGCTCTGCTTGGCTCTATTCTGGACCACTGGATTGAGTGAGCAGTACAAAGTCCTTAACCTTGCTGGCTCTGAGTCTCACCTTTATTGGTTGGTTGATTGATTGATTGATTGACTGACTTTGGAGACAGGGCCTCATTATGTTGCCAGGCTGGTCTCAAACTCCTGGGCTCATACTGTCTTCCCACCTCAGCTTCTCAAAGTGTTAGGGTTACAGGCATGGGCCACTGCACCCAGCCTGAGTCTCATCTTTAGAGTGAAAGGTTTAGCCAAGTGGTCTCTAAGATCTCTCCCAGATCCAAAATTGATACTAAATGACAATGATACTAAATTTTGACTTTGTCTTACTACTTAGTGGAAGCTACTTAATGGAAGTTTGTTTGAGGAACAAAATGACTTTATTTAATGTGGGTTTATGGACTATTAATGTCTCCACAAGATTGATTAAAGATTGTCCTGATTATCCAACTATGCTTCTTCTTGTATGAACTTGGTGGTGTGATGATGTAATTTCCAAGTGTAACTCAGAATTAAGGCAACTTCTTCCTGGTATTTACTTTTATAACGTTGCCATCCCCTGACCTATGGCTGACTCAGTCATGAAGGACCCACTCAGGGCTGCCATAATGAGCTCTGCAAGCGCTCTGTAAGTGCGGGAGCCCTTCCGGATCAGAGGCCAGAAAACTACCCTTGGGACAAATCCAGCAACCCCCTTTCTGTTTTTCTGCAGGCAAAGAGTTAAGAATGGTATTTACATTTTTAAATAGTTTCTAAAAATCCAAGGAATATTTTGTGACATTGGAAAAGTAAAGGAAATTGAAATATTGATGTCTATTCATAAAGTTGTATTGGGACACAACCCACACTCATTTGTTTACATAGTTACCTTAGACTGCTTTTGCATTACAACAAGAATGGAATAATGCAACAGAGATCATATGGCCTGCTATGCCTGAAATATTTACTGTCCAGACCTTTAGGATAAAAGTCGCCTGGTCTCTGTTCTAGATCATTCTAATCACATCTCTGATTTTCCACTTATCAAATCATGTTGTCATTTATCACCAACTTTTCAAGTCACATAAATGTTACAGAGTTTTGATTGTATTAACCATCTACTGTTTATGCATGTGACTAAGGAAATAGAACACTTTAATTTGCTGTTCTAACATTGGATCAGGCTTGTGAAATGGTTTCAAGATTTGGCATAACTCAGGCCCACCTTTGTACGTTTTGAGGCGTCTCCTGTAAGGTGTCTTTTAAGGCTGAGTGCAGTGGCTCACACCTGTAATCCCAACACTTTGGGAGGCCGAGGTGGACAGATCACAAGATCAGGAGTTTGAGACCAGCCTGGCCAACATGATGAAACTCCGTCTCTACTAAAAATATAAAAATTAGCTGGGCGTGGTGGTGGGCACCTGTAATCCCAGCTACTTGGGAAACTGAGGCAGAAGTATCACTTGAACCCAGGAGGCAGAGGTTGCAGTGAGCCAAGATCACACCATTGCACTCCAGCCTGGGTGATAGGGAAAGGACTCCATCTCAAAAAAAAAAAAAAAAAAGAAAGAAAAAGAAAGTATTTTAGGGCCTCGATCCAAGTAGGATTATATCGTAGCTTTATCTAAGGTAATTTTTCATCTGAACATAATACCCTCTTTCTTCCCACTTTAAGCACAAATTGGCCCACCAGAGGTGGCACTGACTACAGATGAGAAGTCCATTTCTGTTGTTCTAACAGCTCCAGAGAAGTGGAAGAGAAATCCAGAAGACCTTCCTGTTTCCATGCAACAAATATACTCCAATCTGAAGTATAACGTGTCTGTGTCGAATACTAAATCAAATAGAACGGTAAGCCTGAAATGGGATGGGGCATATGTTCATGAACCCCTCTGTAGCTAATGTGGGAACAGACAACCCTGATGCCTTGATTTTCTGCGTGTGAATCTGGGAAGTCATGATATTCAAAAGACAGGCTGCACAAAATACAGTTGAAACCTTTATACAGAAATTTTACAGAACTAACTTCAGATCTTCTTGACAGAAACTCTGTTGACAGGATATGGTGTTGTTATTGGAGTGTAGAGAGATTGTACACTTGACTTTGATGGAGAGCTTCCACTTGCACAGTCTTTCTCCAAGAAGAAAAAATAATGCAAGCAGGACCCAGGACAGTGAATAAGAACGCTATCCGTGTGTGGTTTAGAATCCTTCCCAGCACTGGTCCAGTTCCTGACCATGCTCTGCTGCGCTGAAGGAAAAGAGTATATTGAAACTGTTGCTGAAAAAAAAAAAAAACAAAAAAACAGCTTATACTGATAGTAAAGGATTAAATGGTGGCTTGGTCTTTTATTTCCTTCTAGAGTTATTTGTCTGGGGTGGTCCCAGAAATGTCTGGCTCTAACCAGTGTTTGCAATTCCCTATCCTAGTGGTCCCAGTGTGTGACCAACCACACGCTGGTGCTCACCTGGCTGGAGCCAAACACTCTTTACTGCGTCCACGTGGAGTCCTTCGTCCCAGGGCCCCCTCGCCGTGCCCAGCCTTCTGAGAAGCAGTGTGCCAGGACTTTGAAAGGTAAGCTTTTAAAAATCTTTGCTGGTCTAGGAAGGAGATGTGCTAAAACTAGAAGTCGGTATGATGGTTTAGACAAAGTTTTGACATATCTGTGTCTGACAGAAACAGGTTGAGGCAAAGGCAGAAACAACTACCCCCAGAAATGCATGGAGCAGCCTGAGGCTCTGCCACTGAGCTTGGCCAGTGTTCAGAAGTGTTCTCACCCCCTCGGAGAACTCAAACGGGTCCAGTGTCCACTGCCAGCAATCTTCCCATGGTCCCTCGTCCACCTGCCTTGTGAAATAACAATGAGGCACTTTCACACATGCCTTGTTTCTTCTTTAAAATCATAATCAGGCTGGGCATGGTGGCCCACACCTGAAATCTCAGCACTTTAGGAGGCCAAGGAGGAAGGATGGCTTGAGCCCCGGAGTTTAAGATCAGCCTGGGCGACATAGTGAGATCTCATCTCTACAAAAAATAAAGTCAACTAGGCATGGTAGTGCATGCCTGTAGTCCTAGCTACTCAGGAGGCTGAGGTGGGAGGATCACCTGAGCCCAGGGGAGGCTGCAGTGAGCCATGGGTGCACCACTGCACTCCAGCTTGGGCAACAGAGTGAGATCTTGTCTCAAAAAATAAAAAATAAAAAATAACCACTCTGATCAGTAGAAGTTCTGTGGTCTTCAAGAACATCAGATAATTTTATTGCTAGAAACAAAGTGTTATTCTGAAAGCACTGTAAAGGAGAATGTATTTTTTTACTTTCCCTGGGGAATAGTAATTATAGGTGCTTCCAGTTGTGTTCAAGTGCCACTAATTGTCTGAGTGAGGGTCTGGGATCTGCACATCAGTGATCACGTCCTTATCTTTACAGTTGCTTCTCTCTGTTTCCTTTTATTTATCTCCTTCTCACATTTTCTACACTGGGCTGCCAGGAAACCGTGGTTAGAGATTCCCATTCCTGTGCAGAGACACAGAGTTGTGAGCCTGGCATTCGTTTCATTTTTCCGCCTTCAGAGTGAGAGGAACTTGAACTCAAAACTTGAAAATTCAAAGAAAATAAATCCTAAAATTTGCCTGCGTCGAAGGACTCGTCATCCATTATTCCTCCACTTCTTTTCCAAACAGCTGGGCTAGAGACAGAAGCCCACGACCTCCACCCCACACCTTGGCTGTATCACCAGCCTTGAATAGGAATCCATAACCCCTGCTTTCCTCTTCCCTCACTCCTCCCACCTTTCACGATGAAACTGTCCCAGAGTAAAGAAAGGGAACTGTGTGAGTACATATGAAAAGCGCAAGGCTTTACCCTTGACTCTCTGTCTTTATCATAGCTTATCATAGCTTTTCTTTTCCAATGAAGGAGTCTCTACCATATATCAAATGAAACTAAAATGCCAAGCAAAACAAAGCCTATTGAAGAAATCGTATTTGTATTTGGGAGAAGTGCTCTCTTTACTAACACCTTGATCAGTGCCAGCTGCTGGGAATGAATTTCCAGTGGAAATCATTAACACAATTGGAGCAAAAGCAATAAAATGCAGATTGAATTCAAAACTTCTTGGTAAGCAGATGAAGCTCACTTTCTCACTAATATGAAAAAAGTGGCCAAGTGCAGTGGTTCACGCCTATAATACCAGCACTTTGGGAGGCCGAGGCAGGAGGATTACTTGAGCCCAGGAGTTCGAGACCAGTCTGGGCAACATGTTGAAACCCCATCTCTACTAAAAATACAAAAATTAGCCAGGCATGGTGGCACACACCTTTAGTCCAAGCTACTTGGGAAGCTGAGATGGGAGGATCACTTGGGGAAGTGGAGGCTACAGTGAGCCGTGATTGTGCCACTGCACTCCAGCCTGGGCAACAGAGTGAAACCCTGTCTCAAAAATTAAAAAAAAGAAAGAAAAATTAACGGAATAACTAGGCTCTGTTTCTGGTTCTGAACCCCTCCTATCCCAGCTGTTAGATCACCAGAGATACCTTGCGAACACACTGGTGTGAGGACCTGCTTTCTGAATAATCAGTATTACCTCTATTGGAACTATTTTTTAAAACATATTTCTGCTGTCTAGTCCCCCATCCCTAAAATACAGATACAGTTTATTAGGTTTGTTGTAGTAAACATGGATTAGTGTATACTAAATGCTGTCAGTCATTGTTATGACTCTTTCCAGTTAGCACAGGCTCAATCCAGGGACCAGGGATTGTATTAAGAGGGTTGGACTGAGTTATAGGCTACAAGCAGGGCAGGTGGAGTTCTGACACCCGCAGCATCCGCACTGCTGCACTGGCACGTCTCTGTGCGGAAGCTGGTGGTGAATGTGCTCCTTGGGAATTATGCAGGGTAACAGGCCCACATGGGGGACTTCTCCCTCCGGCTCTTGTTGACCACCCTCATCAGCCATGACACATCTGTTTCCAGGCTTTCAACTGGACAGTTAACCAGGTAGTGACTTTGCTGCTTTCTCTTGGGCCCAAGCATCAAGAGCATCCAACATTCTCCTGGATTAGGATGCTCCGGTCACACTGCTGCTGGTTTTGTTAGTGTGTAAGGAGCACACTCGGACTTTTGTCATTTGTGCTGAAGCTGCTCTTTTTCCTACAGCTGTATCAGTCAGGATTCTCCAGAGAAACAGAACCAATAGAATACACATAGATGCATATATCGATATATTTATTTGTTTAGAAATATTGATTTACTTTAAGGCATTGACTCATACGATTGTGGAGGCTGGCAAGTCCGAATTTGTAGCATAGGCAGGCTGGAGACCCACGGAAGAGTTAATGTTTGCAGTTCGCACCCAAAGGTAGTCTGCTGGCAGAATTCCCTGTTCCTTTGGGTCGTCAAGACATTTTTTATTAAAGTCTTCAGTTGATTGGATGAGGCCCACCCACATTATAGATGGTAATCTGCTTTACTCAAAAACCTACTGATTGAAATGTTAGCCTCCCAAAAATAAAAAAAAAAATAAAAAATAAACCTTCACAGAAAGCTCTAGAATAATGTTTAGCCAAATATCTGAGTACTGTGGCCTACCCAACTAGACATGTAAAATATACCATCACAACTTCCAAGTATACCACAGTGGCTTAACAAGTATGAGTGAGTCACAATGAGCTCTAGTCATCAGCTCTATGGCCTGATCAATGGTGTGGGCCAGCACTTTAATTAAAACTTTTATTAAAACAATTTCCCAGGTATTGTCATTCCTCTGCAGACTTTTACTCATCATGAGCCTACAGCACAGCAGGCCCAGGAAGGGAGTTAACTGCCATTCGCACTGTACCCTGTCCAGCCACCTCCCTACACACATCCCCAGGCTCCAGCCCTACCCAGAAAGTCCAGTCAAGCAGTGCAAGAACGGTTCTGCTACTCACATAAAAGGTGGCGCCACGCATTCATGTCCTTCAGTGAACATGCAGAAAGACTGAGTCAAACATGTGGCGTGGAAAAGTGGAGCAATTCAATGGGATCTTCACTGGAGGGTTTTGTTGTTTGTTTGAAGTTCTGTGAGTTACTTGAATATCAAATACACTTACTTTCAAATATAGAAACCTGCATGAATCTCATAGCCAGATATATGATGGTGGAATATGTGCTGACTTGGATGATTGATAAATTCTTAAACATTTGAGGTGTGTTCAGATGATTCCTTCAGACCATCTCTTGTCCGGGAGAGTAAGAATTCTGAGACCGCTTATAACATTTAGCTTAAGCTTCTCAACGTGGAGGTGAGAAAACTGAGTTCCCAAATGCAAGTGATCTGCCCAGAAGCCACTTAACGATGTCAGTTTTTCCCATCACATCAAATCACAACTATCTAACCCTTCCCCCCACTTCCCACCTTTTTTTTTTTTTTTTTTTTTTTTTAACAGATCAATCATCAGAGTTCAAAGCTAAAATCATCTTCTGGTATGTTCTGCCCGTATCCGTTACTGTGTTTCTTTTTTCTGTGATGGGCTATTCCATCTATCGATATATCCACGTCGGCAAAGAGAAACACCCAGCAAATTTGGTGAGTGCTTAGTGTGGCAGGGATCTTTATTATAATAGTACACCTCCAGGAGGACAGAAGAGGAGGTTCTAGAGCAGATTCAGTTCCCTTTAAGGGCAGAGTGAAATTAAAGTTAAATAGCTGGTGAATTAAAAAACACTTTCTGGGCTGGGCATGGTGGCTCATGCCTGTAATCCCAGCACTATGGGAGGCTGAGGCAGTTGGATCACTTGAGGTCAGGAGTTCAAGACCAGCCTGGTCAACAGCATGAAACCCCATCTCTCCTAAAAATGCAAAAATTAGCTAGGTGTGGTGATGCGTGACTATAATCCCAGCTAGTCAGGAGGCTGAGACAGGAGAGTCACTTGAACCTGGGAGGCCAAGATTGCGGTGAGGCAAGAGTGCGCCACTGCACTCCAGCCTGAGTGACAATGAGACTGTCTCAAAAAAAAAAAACAAAAAAAAAAAAACCTGCTTTCTGGATTAGCTCACTGACAGAATTTTTTTCCTTAGCTTTGAAAAGATGTTCTATGTAATGACCAAATTTTATAAGGTCCCACAGATAAGTTCAGTCATGATCCCTGCCCTGCCCTTCTAGAAGTTCAAGCCTAGTTGGGGACTAGAATTTCAAAATAATACGTGAAGGCTAAGATGAGAGCAGGCACTGGGAACTCGGGGGGTACAAGGAGAGCCCTGAAACCCTACACAGGGGTTCAGCTCTCATGCCAGGGCTTGGCTATGAGAGGTGAGTAGGAGTTAGGATCCGTAGTGCAGGCAGAAGAAACAGCAAGGTGGATGTGTGGAAACTGCATGACATTCGTAAACCAGGAGGCTCCAGATGAGGAGCTAGAGAAGACGACGAGACTGGAGAGCGGGCAGTGGGTCCAAGTAAGGGGAGAACTGAGGCGCTGTTCTAAGGAGCTCAGCCTCATTCTACCGGCAAAGAGAAATCTCCATAGGGTTTTAGGTTAGGAGCATCATAGTCAGTATCAAGGTTTAGATCCAACCAGATATTAGTTCCAGGACAACTTGGAGCTGAGTAAGACTAGAAACAAGAAAAGCACCTAGGGAACTAGCTTTGTCCAGGGGAGAGAAGATTCAAGTCTAACAGGCCAGAGTGGGACATCAGGTTAGAGAGAAAGACGTGGAATGGAAACACACTTAGGAGGAACATGGCCAGGACTTAATCCTTCACAGTAAGAAGCAGCAAGAAAGAAGAAAGAATTAAACCCACGGAGGTGGGACCATGTGCTGAAGGGTTCTGAAGGGCTGAGCATATTTTTAACAATCAAAACCATTTTATTGGGAACTATTAAAAGATGTGTTCCCGTGTACATGATAACGTACCTTGGTTCCTGTTAGTTCCATTTATAAGTTTTTCTATGATTCTACCTGCGTTCAGGTTTCAGAGTTGGCTTCCTAATGGCACTGGGAGACCTTTTCTGGAAGGAACATTCACAGGAGAATTGACCACCTGTGATTTTTTAGAAACTTAAAATGTTGTAAAAGAATGAGGCTGAAGGTTCTGTTTTGTAAAGTTAAATGAAATCACATGGTAGAGTGACAATGAGGATTGTAACTCATGCTCTCTTAGAAAACAGGTATCTTTCACGGTACCCACAGCAATAATTTAATCTCGTCTGAGCTTCCCTGACATGATTTGGAGTTTCTCTCTCTACCATAAACTGGCAGATGAGTTTCCTTTTTTGGCCCTATTATAGCATGATAAGAATGGTATAAGGGGTAAAAACCATCCCTGCTCATATATTTCCCTCCCTTTCTACATCCAGTTCTCATGCCTGTCCGCATTTCAAATATATCCAAAAACAGAGCAGGTAGCCCAGGTAACCACAGCTTATTAACAAGTACATAGCAAACTATAAATAAAACAATGTCACAAACTCTGCCACATTCAGTCTTTGCTACTCTTCATGTGGCTAAGATTCTGACTTTACAGAATGTAAAAAAGGTCGAGAAATGAAGAACTCCCCTGCCGGTTACAAGAGGAGGCACCAACGCCCCAGCCGCAGCCCTGGACTGGAGAAATACCCGCCCAGTGAACCACTTCTCACTTCCATGTATCTTCTGTGTGTCTTGGGTCTCTTGCCTCCCAGTGAGTGAGATTTTCTGTATATTGCAAGCATAACTTTCATTTAGATGAGTTGGTAAGAGTAGGTCTTTAAAACTATCTGGTGACAAGATATTCTACCTAACAGCTGTTTCTAATGTCTCTCTAAAGTGAAAAGGTGAAAACCATTCTCTTTTCTCGTTATAGATTTTGATTTATGGAAATGAATTTGACAAAAGATTCTTTGTGCCTGCTGAAAAAATCGTGATTAACTTTATCACCCTCAATATCTCGGATGATTCTAAAATTTCTCATCAGGATATGAGTTTACTGGGAAAAAGCAGTGATGTATCCAGCCTTAATGATCCTCAGCCCAGCGGGAACCTGAAGCCCCCTCAGGAGGAAGAGGAGGTGAAACATTTAGGGTACGCTTCGCATTTGATGGAAATTGTTTGTGATTCTGAAGAAAACGCAGAAGGTACTTCCCTCACCCAGCAAGAGTCCCTCAGCAGAACAATACCGCCAGATAAAACAGTCATTGAATATGAATATGATGTCAGAACCACTGACATTTGTGCAGGGCCTGAAGAGCAGGAGCTCAGGCTGCAGGAGGAGGTGTCCACACAAGGAACACTATTGGAGTCACAGGCAGCGTTGGCACTCTTGGGCCCGCAAACGTTACAGTACTCATACACCCCTCAGCTCCAAGACTTAGACCCCCTAACGCGGGAGCACACAGACTCAGAGGAGGGGCCAGAGGAAGAGCCGTCGACGACCCTGGTCGACTGGGACCCCCAAACTGGCAGGCTGTATATTCCTTCGCTGTCCACCTTCGACCAGGACTCAGAGGGCTGCGAGCCTTCTGAGGGGGATGGACTCGGGGAGGAGGGTCTTCTGTCTAGGCTCTATGAGGAGCCGGCTCCAGACCGGCCACCAGGAGAAAATGAAACCTATCTCATGCAATTCATGGAGGAATGGGGGTTACATGTGCAGATGGAAAACTGATGCCAACACTTCCTTTTGCCAGACCCCTACTGTGCAGACAAGTGATTCACCCCTTTGATCCCAGCCATAAAGTACCTGGGATAAAAGAAGTTTTTTCCAGTTTGTCAGTGTCTGTGAGAATTACTTATTTCTTTTCTCTATTCTCATAGCACGTGTCTGATTGGTTCATGCACACAGGTCTCTTAACGATGGTGGTGGGTGCCTAGAGTGCAGGGGCTGGCCGGTTGTTCTATGCAGAGAAAGCAGTCAATAAATGTTTGCCAGACTGGGTGCAGAATTTATTCAGGTGGGTATACTCTGGCCTCTTTGTTCATTATTTTCGAACAAGCACACTTGTACAGTTATTTTCTGAGTACTTCCCATGTGTACATAGCACTGTAAGAAATATTTCCCAAAGATCATTCACTTTATAAATACCACTTTTTCAGATTGGGTTTATTGCGAGCAGGAGGAGATACTTAAAACATGCACATACACCAGGTTGGTGGTAAGTTGGTCACATCTGAAAACCTCAACTATTTAATCATCATGATTCATATTTTGAGTGAATACATCAGGCACAGACCTTCATGATGTCACACACTCTTGGCTACTTTAAGAGGCCACCTTTAATACTTTATGAGTAGTTCTGGAGTATAAACATAAATGAGTATCCTTTGTAGTCAGAAAAATGTCCTCTCAATAATTTAGTAGGGGCTTATTGTAAAGCACTGTGTTACTATTATAATATTAAACATTAGAGTAGGCAGTGGTTCAAAGACTCTTTGGAATATCTATGAATGAATATCCTCTATTCTTATAATACTAAAACCCATAAGTAAATATAGGACATGCAAGAGAAATAAGTTAAATGACTAGGTAAGGGAGCGTTTATTAAAATTTGACAAAATTTACTGTGGGAACTAAACTATGCCATAAAACAATAGCTTTCTAGCTCAATTCCAGTAACTGTTCCCATCTCCTTTACCACTTGTTAAGAAAATTAAATTCTTCAGTCACACTACTTTGAAATGGGACAAAATCTATTAAGTTGAACCCTATATAATTGTTGATATTTTGCTTTTAATCTGACAAGCAGTAACTTCATATGGTTTGCCTTAATATATATTTGTTTTAATCATGAACTCATAATCCATTGATGCTCTTTCAAGAAAACAGATATCACCCATATTTCCTTATTGATATTTTTGGTACAGGCAGACAACCGTGTAGGAGAGATGGATTCTGGGGTCATGACCTTTTGTGATTGCCCACAAATGCAAACAGTTTCAGATCTAATGGTTTAATTTAGAGAGTAATTATATTAAGCAGAGTGTTCTGTTATTCTCAATCTTTATGGAAACGATTCTGCTGGTTTTGAAGAACAGATGTATTACACTAACTGTAAAAGTAGTTCAAGAGTGAGAACGAATTGTTATTAAGAGCAAAAGAAAAATAAAGTGATTGATGATAGTTCTGCTTATTAATTCCATTCACAGAATATTTTTTAGGCACCTAATATGTCCTTCAGTGTCCTAATCTGTGCAATAGAAATAAGAGCTGCCTTAGGGCTGTTTTGAGAATGAAGAGAGTTGGACTATAGAAGGTATTTAGACCTGTGCTGGGCACATAGTGAGTGCTCCCTAAGTGTTTGCCATCATCATCGTTAACTGCCAGGTCCCATTACTAACTGCCAGAAAGAAACGCCATTTAGACATACAACTATAGTGATTCAAAGGCAGACCTTGTCTAACTCTGTTTTTCTTACCGGAGAGTAAATAGTAATTTGTTTCCTACTTTGTGCCCTCAGATTGAGATCCTTCAGTGGTTCAGCCACATTATCTGGCTTTGTAAAAGGGGAATGTAATTCTGAGTTGCTTTTACGTCTCTTGTTATTCCAAGCATGTCAGAAATATTGAGCATTCTCTAATTTTGCTGCTTCAGTTCTTTGCAACATATGTATATATTGAATCTATATAGATATACACACACATTCAAACATGAGCATATAGTATATATTTCTCATGGGGGTGGTGACATCTTCTTAGATGCAGTATATCTGTGTGGGAGGCAGCTGTCATGCATCCTGTTCCTTCTGTGGCCAGGCCTCACCATCTCCAAGAAGCCACCCTCTGGTCTGCTTCAGATTCCATCTCTATGCCTGAGGTTCAGGCGGAGCTGAGAAGTTGAAGTTTCAGAGTCCAACAAGTACAGTTGGCCCTCTGTATCTATGGGTTCAGCATCCATGGATTCAACCAATAGCAAATCAAACATTCATTAAAAAAGAAATCCACAAAGTTCCAAAAAGTGAACATTGAATTTGCATCACACTGAGTGCTACATTGAATGCACTTAAATGAAGTGATGTCTAGGCCTGTTGGGCATTACAAGCAATCTAGAGATGATGGAAAGTATACGGGAGAATGTGTGTGGGTTATCTACACCATTTTATACCATGAAGTTGAGCATCTGTGGATTTTTGGTATCCTCGGGGTTCCTGGAACCAATCCCCAATGAATACCAAGGGAAAACTATACTGTTCATCCTATCCCTGGTTATTCCCAGGATTTTATATACCACTTGCACATTAGTTAAGTTTTCCTTATCTAATAGAAATAAAAGACATCTATTAGCAGCTCCATTTCCACACCCCATCAATCCTAAACAACTGGTGAACGAAAATACCACCGCTACAAAGTGAGTGAAACGTAGCGCCACGTCTTCCTCTCAAGAAGGAAGTGAGGGAAGTGAACTTGTCACTGGAGCCCATAACATGGGAAAGATCTGGTGCCCCCTGCCCCCCATGCTGAGCCCAACTGGAAGGAAGTCAGTGCAGAGAAAAACTATTTGTACAGCCCAGAACACAAGACTGCCAGCTTGGTAAATCTAATGAGAACATTAAACAGAGGATTGGTTGTCATGGATGGGTACCCCTGGGTCATTAATCAGGTTATTTCTGGCCCACACATTACCACCCCCACATCTTGCAGATTAATTTTTGCTAAATTATCTTAGAAGAACGTTACTTCCTTTTTAATTCCCCACATTATATCTTCCATAAACCTTCTATTTACAGATATTTTTCAAAGATTTTTCTCAAAAGCATGTACCCATAATTTTTAAAATAAATAGTGCTGTGGTTATGGGTATTTTAATAATAGCTTTTATTTTTATTATAGAAGACATATATTACGATATATGTACACATACTCATTGTAGAATAACTAGAAATAAATGGGGGAGGAAAGAAAAATTACCCATAATACTCTCACCCAGATTTAACCACCATAAACATATTTGAATAGAGAAATGATTCTCAACTGGAGGAAGTTTTGTCCCCAAACTTTGGGGCAAGGCCAGGAATAAATACTGCTAAACATCCTACCATAACAAAGTGTTATCCAGCCCAAAATGCCAATAGTGCCTCACTTCATAAACCTTGGTGCAAGACTTTCTGGACATTTTCATTGCATGTATGCAAATATTTTTGCCAAAAGTGGGGATTAGATTGGATTAGTTTATAACTTGTTCCTTTCACTTAAAGATATGTAACTATCTGATTTTAACTACAGATTAAGTTTATAATGCACCAACCTTATTCAAGCTAGAACATTTGAAACAACAGATTGGGAATTATTTTTTCCAAACATAATGCTTTAAAACAGTTTTAGACCAGGCATGGTGGCTTCCGCCTATAATCCCGGCACTTTGGGAGGCTGAGGTGGGCGGATCACTTGAGGTCAGGAGTTTGAGGTCAGCCTGGCCAACATGGTGAAACCCCGTCTGTACTAAAAATACAAAAATTAGCCAGGCGTGGTGGCATGTACCTAGAATCCCAGCTACTCAGGAGGCTGAGGCGGGAGAATCACTTGAACCTGGGAGGCAGAGGTTTCAGTGAGCCAAGATGGCACCACTGCACTCCAGCTGGGGCAACAGAGCAAGACTCTGTCTCAAATAAAATAAAATGAAAATGAAAATAAAATAGATTTAGCCAAGCAGCAACCAGAAACACTGTAAGTCCTTTAAGCATAGCTGAACCTCTCAAAAACACTATTTCCTGAAAATTACTACCTCTCCAAACTGGCTGGATGACTATTCTGGTCATGTATCATCCCTTATTGGAGTTAGACTCTCTGTGCTTAGTTCCTACTACCACTTCTCCCAAGCCTTGGGTCCTCAGTGACATGTGCTTGAAGGCAGCCTTGGCCATGCAGGCCATTACTTTGACCATCTCAGCAGGACTGATGTTCCTCCAGCCTCCTTGGCCTGTTTGGTGGCTGCAAAACTTCAGTCCTACTAGTTTTAATCTTTAATAAATTTTCCCCTTGGTTTTCACTTCTGATTTTCATGCCAGTGAGTTTAGGTTCTTTCAGCATCGCTACATGCAAGATTCCCTTGAGGGAGGGGATGAGGGCTGCTGTGTGAGGCTGTTTGGCAGTGCTTTCTGTTGTGCTTGTGTTGATGGGTGGAGGCTCCTGTCCCAAGGAACTGAAGCGTGGGCTCTTTGCTACAACTGGAAGCAGATGAGGCATTTTCTCCCTTACTCTCCCCAACAGATCTCTTTAGATTTCTCAATCTGTCATTTTCTGGATTAGGTGGTATTCGGAGGCTTTCTACCAACTCGGAAGATAGACATATGGCTCATGTTTACGTTTTCATGCACAGGCCACTGAGACAGATGAGCACTGACGGGGATAAACACCATTGGTCATTTGCCTGTCCCTGGAACTCATTTTGAGGGGCATATGAATTAGATACTGCTCTTAAAGGTCTCATACAGTTAAAATTATTTACATATTATTCTTTCTTCTCAGGCAAGTGCATTCTTTCCCATTCTGAAATTGATTTGAAATGCAAAAACATCAGGATATTTGATATAAGAGTAAAATTTTAAAAATGATAGAGATTTTAACCCCAAGCCCCCAAAAAGGAGATGTGGCGTATTGGATCTCTATTAAATTTGTTGACTTTTTGCTTTAAAAAGAATTTGCCAGCATTTGATTAACAAAAGGATATATGGACAAATGGAAACACACCTTACAACTTTTCAAATTGACTGACTGAGGGATTGATAAGCCAAAGAAGAATCAGTATGGTGTATTGATTGCAAGGATAGACTCTTGAAGCCGAGATGCTTGGTCTCTGTAGCTTTCTAGGTTTGTCACCTCAGGCAACTTAACCTCTTTGGTCTAAATTCCCTCATCAGTGGAATGAGGATAATAATTTTACATACCTCAGAGGGCTGCAGGAGATTTAAATGAATCAATATATTTGAAGCACTTAAAACAGTGCCTGACACAAAATAAGTGCTCAGTAAATAAAACAATAAAAACAGCAATAAAAACAGCACATGTAAGAATGTTCATAGAAGCATCATTCATTTACTTAATATGCAAAAGAACACAAAGGCTAGGCATAAGGAAGCTTTGAAAATGAACTACAATTTCACATGGTAACATGAATGAACAAAAAGATTGATTTCTAAAAGAACACAGAGAGCATAATTCCACTTGTATAAAATACGCAAACATAGAAAACTAAACAGTATATTGTTTAGGAATACATATATATGTGGTAAGACAAGGAAATGACTAAAAGTTTGAGATTGTGGCTCCCGCTTGGGAACCAAGGACAGAGGTCACATTGGAATTGGCAATGGTCTCCTTAAATGGTGGTGAAAACAAGAGTTTTCCTTTGGTTATTCCTCTTTAGACTGAGCATGTATAGTATACATGCCCTAATGTATGTATATTTAATTAAGCAAAACAACAATGGTATCCCAAAGCCCCTGAATTTTAGTGTCATACTCATGGGTTCCATAATTAGTATTAGCTTTGTGACGTTGGTCAAGGCATTTGAAATTGTGAGAGCTGTCATACATTTTCCCTTGCAATTCAGAAACAAGTATATTAGTGGTCATATTCTGTTTATAAAAACTCTTAGTTTGCAAACTTTTTACTAAGTCTAAAATTCTGAACAGGAAAGAGCCATTGACAGATTAGCTTCTATGCAGAAGGGCATGAGCTTAAAACCTTAGCTTTACTGAGATCTGTCATTATTCAAAATAAACAAATACCTGAACCCTGGTAGGAAATGAGGAGGACACATGATTCACACAAACTTCTGAAATGCAAGCACCTTTTTCTTACTCACAGGTAATAATGCATTAATAAGTAATAAGATCTCAGGCAGGCAAACAGGCTGTCCCACTGATAAAAATTACGTAGTGTAAACAAATCCCTTTTTGAAGAAGCAGCTAATAGTTTATCTCTGTTAGCTGATTTCAGCATGCAGGGAAAAAGGGCTAGGATTTCTCAAACGCTCTGCCTTTACAGTTCAGCTGATTGTTCCTTTCTGTAATAGTTTGCCTTGGTTACAATCGCTTAGTGACCATTAGCAAATAGAATGTGTTTGCTTTTCCTAAGGTCCATGTTTCCTGCCAGCTTGTAGCCACCAGCTTCCAAAATAAAATA